TCTGGATGATCGTCAAAGGCAACCTCATGTTGAGCACACAGAAGTTCAACAGGCTAAGAAGATTGAAGTTACCCAATACCAAAAAGTATGACAATTTCAAACCAGCCCAGAAACTAGATCAAAGAATCCAAGGAGGGGTCCAGATGGACAACAGGTTAGTTAGTATATCAGAAAATTACCCAATTTGCCTTTCCCTCTACTGCCCGGCTTAATGTGCAGGCACTTAACATCATGCCAAAGGAAGAGCAGATCTCCTAATCACTAATAGGTTGTCCCATACGATCAATGCCACCATATTGTTTCAAGCTCATGGTTACTGCAGGATTTGAAGACCAGAAGGGCAGATCCCCAAGAGGGTAATATCAGAATAACAGAGTTGGAAGGGACCTTGGAGGTCTTCTAGTCGAGGGGGCCCCAACCCCAAGTCTGTGGACCAAGACAGTCCGCGGCATGCCAGAAACTGGGCTGCGCCAACAAGCGAAGGCCCATCTGTGGGATGCAGACAGCATGCAAAACCCCACCCGATCTGGTCCGCGGAAAAACCTCTCTCCATGGAACCGGTCCCTAGTGCCCAAAAGATTGGGGGCCACTGTTCTAGTCCAACCCCCTGCTCAGGCAGGAAAACCTATACCATTTCAGATAAATCTCTTCTTAAAGCACCCACAACTTCTGAAAGCAAGCTGTTCCACTGGTTAATTGTTCTCATTGTTAGGAAGTTTCTTCTTAATTCTAAGTTCTCTCCTTGATTAGTTTCCATCCATTGTTTCTAGTCCTGCCTTCAGGTGTTTTAGAGAAGAGCTTGACTCCCTCTTCTTTATGGCAACCCTGAGATATTGGAACACTGCTATCATGTCATCCCTCGTCCTTTTCTTCATTACTCTAGACATACCCAATTCCAGCAACTACACTTTATATGTTTTAGCCCTCAGTCTCCTAATCATCTTTGTTGCTCTTCTCTGTACAATTTCTAGAGTCTCAACATCTTTTTTACATTGTGGTGACCAAAACTGGATGCAGTATTCAAGTGTGGCCTTACCAAGGCATTATAAAGTGGTATTAACACTTCACCTGATCTTGATTCTATCCCTCTGTTAATGCAGCCTAGAACTGTGTTGGCTTTTTTGGCAGCTGCAGCACATCATTGGCTCATATTTAAGTGATTGTCCAGTAGGACTCCTAGATCCTTCTCACAGTTACTACTATTGAGCCAGGTACCACCTATACTATACCTGTCTTCACCCACCAGGAATTCTCAGGAATACACACCATGTATGTCTATTCATCGACAATCAAGTCATGAATCAAAATGGATCTGGTTTTTATCAACAGCAACATGAGCTGAAATTCATCAGCAATTCAACCATAAGGACCCAGGATTGAATCAGCAGCCTAGAAACAGAGATAGTATTAAACTGCTGGTCTCCCTTCCCTTATAATACCTCCCCAGCACCCCCATGTGCCCCTCAATCTATCACAATCAAACTTATACTACCTTGACCTCTCCTGATAACACAGTTACCTCCACAATAACCAACCAACCCACACACATGCTACCACCACAATGTACCATATGCAATTACTCAACTAGAATAAAAAATTCAACCTCACAAACTTGTTCTTCTCCAGGCAAAGCAAATGTCTACATCAATAAATCAAGTAAATATTGTAGCTCTTTCTTCTTGAAAACTCAGGGTGGCTTCTAGGAGGGTTTTACTTATTTTATTCCTTCCAAAGTGCCCGTGAAATGGTCTGCACTGAAACATTTTGACTGGCCCAGCATCTCTCAGTGAGCTCCATGGACCAGTGGGGCTTTCAATCTATTAATTTTAAATGAAGTCTAAAATGCTTAAAGTGTAATGTTTTCAGAATTCTGGACTTATCTACTACTGAAACTCTTATTGTCTGCTACCTTTAATTGGATGAAACAGCGCATCATAGGGCTACATTTATAAACCAAGGTACTTCAAATGGGCTAACTTACAGAATGCAACCAAAATCTGGGACCCATAACTTCTATGGAATTGAAAATTGGCAAATTTATGGTTGCTTCAATGTTGCTGTACTGCCATGCTACTGCTCAGAAGTTCAGTAGACTGGTCCCACCCTAGCCCCCTGGACACTAGGTAGCCCATCCCCTCTTTTGGCCACTGGAGATCAGGTGGCCTAGTCCTGTCCTAGCCCTCCAGAGACCTTGTAGACCAGTCCCACCATTGGCTGCCAGAGAGAGATCAGCTGTAGTCAAGCCATCAGGAAGCTGGAAATTGCTGGGCTTTTTTTTGCTCTTGCTTATTCTGTTTCTCTGTTTAAGTAAGGAAATATTTGTGAAGTGATGACCCAATAGGTCATGGATTGCTAATTTGATTGTAAACATATTTTCAGGCTGCCTTTTTCCCAGGCAAGAGTCTGTGGTTAGGAAGGGAGAAGAGTTACATTTGACAACCATCAGAGTCCTGAAAACTGAACTGTTATAATTACTCTATCACTGCTGTAATATACTTAATAGTGATTAATGTACTGGTACTGCATTGTGACCACCTTGGAAAGAATAAACACTTGTGGGTATTTCTTATTTCAATGCCAAAGTAACATGGCTGCTTTGAATATAATAAACTGAAAATGGAGCATTTCTAAAAACTCATATATGCCCATTGTCTTCTCTGTTAGCCACATGTGTCAACTTGATCCTATAATCTAAAACAATCCAATTGTGCACTCATTTTTTTATATTGTTTCTGAATGCTCTGTTTTATTTATCATCCACAGGGGTTGCATCCTATAAATGTGATAAATAAGCAAATAAACAGGGTGAAAATGTGTTTAATTTTGGTTTTTTAAACATGCAGCATCCGATGCTTATCCCTGTGATTTTTGGGGAGGCAAGGCACTGATTTGCTACTTGCCTGTCATACTAGACCCAAGAAAATGCCATCCCAGCATGCAAGGACTAAAAACAGGTTCCTTGAGAGATGAGCTGTTCCTCCCACAACCTCATTAGTAAAGTGATGGTTCCACTGCTGGGTATGACCCTCATCAGCTTATCACCCAACCGCTTGCTGCCTCCTCCACACTGGATGCACAAAATTGCTGCAGACCATTCACGAAGCTGCATTGCTAAGGAAACAGTGAAGAGCCACCCCCTTCCCTCAAGTCCAAGCATTAATTTGCCTCCTGATCCCAGAGAAAAGCAGTATGCAAAGACTGCATTTGCCAACTGGAACAAAAACAAAACTAGGAAAATGATGATTAAGGTGTGCTTTAAAAGGGAACTCCAACCTGCTGTTTTGTTTGTGTGCAAATGTCTTGCAATTGCATCAGGTGGGTTATGACTTTCTGGAGGATTAGGCCAGAATGGAAACTAGCCTTCTCAGAACATGCATAGCTATTGTCTGGATGGCACTGTCTGCACTTTTATTCTCTTCTTGCCAAGCACATGTCAAGGTTCTTTCTTTGTTGTCTAGAATTCAGAGCTCTGGAGTCTAACCTGAACTATGTGTACCTGTAGACTAGAAATATTCAAGCTGGGGAATATGGAACTTTACACCAATCCAAAAATTGGATCACAGCAAAGTGCTGTGGACATAGTATACTTAGATTTCAGCAATGCATTTGACAAAGTAGACCACAACATACTTCTTGGTAAGCTAGAAAAATGTGGCATATGCAGCATCACCACCAGATGGATTTGTAACTGGCTGACAAACCGTATTCAATGAGTTGTCCTTAATGGTACTACATCTACATCAGGGGTGTCAAATTGTCGGCCCATGGGGCGGATGCATCATAGCGAAACCGCGCCCACCCCATTGCCGGCAATGGCAAAAAAGTCGCAATACGTCGTGACACTTCACGTGACGTTGCGAGTTTGACATCCCTGATCTACATGGAGGGAAGTAAGCAGTGGGGTACCACAAAGTGCTGTCTTAGGCCCAGTACTCTTCAATATCTTCATAAATGACTGAGATGGAAGGAAAAAGAGCAAAGCATAAACACATTTAATGAATCCAAGCAGATTATCTATCTGGTAAAAATGATTATCTTAATCACCAAAAGGTTGCCTTGAGACCAGACTTATGGATCCAAAACTACCTCCCAAATTTTATAGCCCCTTTTGACTCTTCCTCCTCTTGAATAGTTTCCATCTGGTTGTTATAAGAATTCTTATAAGTTTTAAAATCTGGTGGCTGAGAACCCTTCTCTTTTTCCCCTTCTCCATCCTTTTTTCGTTGTGTGTGTAAGGCCAAGAACAAGGACAATATTGTTTAATATTAAATCATAAGCTGTTCCAGGAGCGTTTGGGGATCAATCAGAACAAGTTTCCAAATAAGTCTATTTAATACGTCCGACTTTCTCCAGGATGGAAAAGATTTGAATTCCCGCTCTCAGCGGGAGTTTGGACCCAAAACCTATGTGCCCCTTTTCAATTCTGTAATACTGTTTTGTGTAGTGATTAAAGTGTTGGCCTAGAAAACAGGAGATTGTAAGTTTTAGTCCTGCTTTAGGCATGAAAAAACAGCTAAGTGACTTTAGCCAGTCACTCTCTCTTAGTCTAACTCATCTCACAGAGTCGTTGTGGGAAAATAGGAGAAGAAGGAGTATTATGTACATTCACTGTCTTAAGTTATAAAGTAATAAAGCTGGGATTAAAAAACACCTAATAACCAAATAAATACTGTTCACATGGGCCCTGTCTTCCTCTACCCCAATAATCCAAGCACTGACCTGGTGGTACGGCTCTTCTATTTGGGATATGCTACCTCCGTTTTTACATCTGTTTTATAAATGTGGATGCTCAGAAATGTTGCTGTAGAAAACATAGTTGGCTGCTCCAATTACTTGGTTTTGCTGGCAAAACACACCAGCAAATACAGAGCAAATAAAAGCGACCCCTTCAAATAATAAGCCCCTTAACCAAGCTAGAAGCATTGCAACAAATTGAGAATGCCGAAATTAATCTGGCACCCCTGTCTAGTATCCCACACAACTTGATGCTCAGGACTCACCCTGAAGACGGACATCTGGTTGGTTGTCAACGTGCCTGTCTTGTCAGAGCAAATGACTGAAGTACATCCTAGGGTTTCCACAGAGGGGAGGCTCCTGACAATGGCATTCTTTTTGGCCATCCGGCGAGTGCCCAATGCCAGGCAAGTGGTGATAACTGCAGGAAGTCCTTCAGGGATGGCAGCCACTGCCAAAGCCACAGCGATCTTGAAATAGTAAATGGCACCACGAAACCAGGAGCCACCATGCACGGGGTCACTGAAGTGGCTGATGTTGATGACCCAGACTGCAATGCAGACAAGGGAGATGACCTTGGAAAGCTGCTGGCTGAATTCATCCAGCTTCTGTTGCAGAGGGGTCTTCTCGGGCTCTGTGGCCACCATCTGATTCCTGATTTTCCCAATCTCTGTGTACACTCCAGTGGCAATGACAACACCAACAGCTTTGCCTGCAGCAATGTTAGTTCCCTTAGGAAGAGAAAAGAGATTTTAGATGAGGTTCTCTCACTCAGGCCTAAATTCAGCTTGCACGCCTTCTGGCAGACCAGGGCTGCCTGTGGCCGGACAGCGCCTTTCAAGGATTTTCACACAAAAATAGTAGACGAGTAGGTGGAGCCAGGAAAACAGCTAAACTTTTCATTTCCATGTATATTTCATCAAAATGAAACATAGTTATTATGATCACCCTCCAGTTAAGGCAGGGGTGTCAAACTGCCGGCACGCGGGCCGGACGCGTCACACGGAAGCTGCACCCACCACATTGCTGGCAATGGCAAAACAGTCCCGATACGTTGTGCGATGTCATTGACGTCACGAGTTTGACAAGTCTGAGTTAAGGAGACTTCTTAGAACAGTGGTTCTCAACCTTTTTAATGCCGCGACCCCAACCGGTCGTAAGTCGAGGACTAAACCGGTCGTAAGTTGAGGACTAAACTGGTCGTAAGTCGAGGACTAAACCGGTCGTAAGTCGAGGACTACCCAACCGGTCGTAAGTCGAGGACTTTCCCTGCCCGGGAGTGCCACGCATGCGTGGTTCTGCCCCCTGCGCCGGCCGAGGCGTAGCTGGCAAGCCACAGAGATGGAGCAGGCCGACCACCAGCTGGCCCAGCCCAAGGGAGGTAAGGCACCCGCCAAAAAAGGGGAAAAAAATGGCGGACAAAAAAAATGGCGGGGAAAAAAAATGGCGGACAGCCTTGCTTGGCGACCCCCGTGAAATGGTCGATCGACCCCAAATGGGGTCCTGACCCACAGGTTGAGAACCACTGTCTTAGAATATGGTAACAACATTTAGAGGTCTCTGGGTATTGAAGACATGGATGGACATTACTAAAAACTATATCTTGTATGTAAGGTATTGCAAGAAACAGTATCCTTAAAAGACAATTGACAATCTCTAAATGAACAATAATGGAACTCCAGATTTATACCCAATCAGCTCTCAAACTAAATCAGGGGTTTTCAAACTTGGCCCTTTTATGACTTGTGGAGTTCAACTCCCAGAATTCCTCAGCCAGCATGCCTGGCTGAGGAATTCTGGAAGTTGAACTCCACAAGTCATAAAAGGGCCAGGTTTGAAGACCCCTGCTTTACATTCTCTTGCAGGACTAATTTCTCAAAAGCATTGAATTTCCTTTTCTCTCAAGGCTTCATATTATCCACTGATGAGACACTTGTTTACATTTTCTGCCATTTTCTCATTCAGGAGATTACCCCAATTTCAGCTGAGCCCTGATACATTTCAACTTTTAAGAAGTTATAGGTGGCTCTCTGGTCCAGTTTGTGTCCTCTGATGTAACCTGACAATGATCAAAAGTATGTAACCAGGAAGACTGGACTATGTTGGAGTATTGGACAAGAATGATGACCATGGGACTATATGTAGCCCTTAGATTAACTTCATACTCTATCTACAGGAGAACAGTTCAGACCTTCTATGCATTTGGGTGCACAAGAGGAAGAAGGTAACAGATGGAGAAAATAAAAGACAGCATCAGAGAGAAAAGAGGTTACTTACCTCCCTAACACATTTGTTTGTTTGTCTATGGGTCACCTATCTAAATTTCATCTAAGTTCTTTTTGCTCTGTGACCTCACCCACTGCTGGCTTCAGTTTTTGCCCACTCTCCAGTTGATCACCTCCAGGGCAATGCAATTCTCAGCATTAAAAAGGTTGACTGGCCTTCATGTACAGGTAATCCTCGACTTACAACTATAATGGAGTCAGCCCATTACAGTTTTAAGTGGTGACAGTCATGACCGATCTGATTTTTTGGCCTTTTTTATGGCAGTTGTTAAGCAAATCAAGATGGTTGTTAAGTAAATCAATAATCATTAAGCCAATGCTGCAGTCATTAAGCAAACCCATTGCCATGGCGTGTTCTGGTTTTCAGCAAAAATGTCATAAATTGCAGTCACATGACCACAGGATACTGCAAGCAGTCATAAATGTAGATAGTTGTTGAGTACGCAAAATGCAGTCACGTGACTGCACGGGGGGCCGTTGGAACTTTGGAGTTGGATCATAAATACTTTTTGGGAGGTCCATTGTAACTTCAAGTAAGTTGAGAACTACCTGTACTAACTGAACAAGAAGAATTTGCAACAAACTAGACGGCAATTGCAGGGAAGAGGGAGGGAGGTATTATTTCTCCATAACAAACACCCAATAAACAATATGTAGCACATCAGTTGCAGATTATTTCTGGCTGTGCTGCTTTTTTCTTGAGTTGCATCCAAAAACAATGAATCCTATTTACCTATTTATAGCCTAATATAATATTATCTATTTAGGTTTCTACCATTTGTCCATCATACACGGTGATTCCCCAGAGATATGTGGACAGAGCAGCTTCGTTCCAGAAGCAGGGCAGTCTTATAAGGTGAGCTGAGGACACTTACAGAAAAAAGCATGTTCTTTTTATCTTGGTTAACAGCTCTTGGGTCTGGAATTGGATCAGTATGTTTAATGATGGAGACAGATTCACCTGCAGAAAGAAGAGAATATTGAAACACATTTTTCCTTCAAAAGTTAAGGATGAATTGTGTAACAAGACATATCAAGTTTGGAATGAACTTGAGTTACAAATCACACATACAATCAAGTATGCAATCCAATGCTGAGATAAGAGGGAGGGCAAGACTAGAAAATGGAAGAAGGACAGATTTTTCTTCATTTCTACTGCTTACGAGGTCAAGGGTAAAGTATCTAGTGTTCACCAGATGCTTTGGACCACAAATCCCACCTGCATCAACAAGCGTGTCACCTAGAGGCCACAAGAATGCCTATGTAACTTTAGGATCCAAGCTGGGTCAGTCACTGACACCAGTGAGCTTTCGGACTCATGCTAGAACCCATCTGCAGGGAACTTCTCTCTCACCAGAATGTGGGGGATGCATTCTGGTGAGAGAGAAGTTCTCCGAGGAGGGGCTCCAGCCCGAGTTCAAAACCACCGACCCAGATTGGATCCTGCAACAATATCCTGGGATATGTTTGTTTGCCTTCATTCGTATCTTACTTTAACCTGTGGAAAAGGTTAAATGCAAATGATGATGACCTAGTTAGGATTTTACTGCTTTCATTTTAATGTTCATTTATGGCTTTCCAAATTTCACCTCTACCTATGTTCAGAAACACTTTCCCTCTTGTGGAATAGAACAGCGGCCCCCAAGCTTTGTGCTTGGTGGCCTGGCTGGGGAGGGGGGGGAGAGGGGAACTAGGCTGTGCGAGCAGTGAGCCAGTGCACATGTGCGCATGTAGCCCTTGCATGAGTGGTGGGCTGGCACATGCGTGCATGCAGCTCTTGCATGAGCAGTACACTGGCGCAAGCAGCATGCTGGCATGGATACATGGAGTTCCACTTGTGTGAGCTATGGGCTAGCATGCAAGTGCCTGCCAGCCCATTGCTAATGCAAGTCGAACTGTGAGTGCGTGCATTCCGGCCAGCCACCCACATGGACCAATTCTGAATAGGTCATGGCCTAGTAGTGGGCTACATCCTGGGGGTTGGGGATCCCTGGAATAGAATGCCTACCTGTAAGAATGGATTGATCTACCCTCAATGTTGTGGACTTGATCTCAATGATTCGGATGTCAGCAGGCACTTTGTCACCAACTAAAAGATGGAAAAATAATGAGACAGTTTGCTATTACAAATGACGTGTGTCTGAAATCCAACGCCAGTCATTTACAAAATAATAAAAGATTTATAAAGCAATGTTTAATAGGTATTTGCTATGTTTTGAATTTGATTCCAAAAAGATGCTTCAGAGAATGTGGAGATGTGACTGTAGCATCTGTTTATAACTCTTCTGTAAGTTACCTTTTGCTTCTTTCCCTAGGAGATAGCAACCACTACAATCCCAAGAAACGATGCAGCTGCTTTAAAGAGCTGCAGACAGATACTATATCACACTCCCATGCACTCGGAATTTGAAGCACTCCAATGTTTCCTGCAAAACGGGACATATATGTTCCAATAGGTTTGTTTTCCTTAAAGGTAAATATGTGGACAGTGGAAATTTGGATTAGGAACAGATCTGATAGAAACAAAAGCTTTACTTTTTTTAAAAAAAAAATATCATTGCATACCACGTAGGATGGCATTTATTTTCCAAATTAACCCTTCTGCAGTTATTTTTAAATATTTTTGTATCAGAAATAGAACTACAAACTATTACCATATCCATTCACAATTGTCCAATTTTTCTAAATGAGAGGAAATACTTTTCATTACTTAAAGATGGGGTAGCATTGGCCATATATTATTTCTTTTTCCTAAGCTCTGTGATGTTTTTTTAATTTGACTACTGCCACAAGTGGTTGCAACAGTAATTGGGTTAACAGTCTTACAAGATTCTATATTATTCCTCCTTGGCACTGAAACTAGAAAATGGTGGCTTCACAAAATTTAAAAGACCTAGTCTCAGAAAATTCTAATCTGGGGTAAGAAAGAAAAGATCACAAAAAAAAATTTCAGGAAAAAAAAGATCTTCTGAAAATGTTTAGCTCATTTCTAATTCAAATAATGTTTTGCTTTTACTTTATTTTAAAGCAGGTATCCCACACACCTCTTCTCCTGTGATGGAATGTTGTTCATATTTCCAGGAGGGAGGGAGTGAATTCCAGAGGAGCAAGAGTCAACACTGTTTCTGTGACACTGAAATCAGCTCTTTATTTGGGTGCCCAGAATATTACATATATTTAAAATGGTCCTGCCTGTTTGTCTATCCGTCTCTCTATTTATTTTCCAGACTTGGGCCTGAAAAGGTTACTAGCTTCTGTTTAAATGCTGTTTATTATAAATTTTGTCTGAATAATACTATATCTTAGGTATGATACATCCCTAAGCAATATATGCATTGTTAGAATAATGACATATTCTTGCCTCCATCCCTTTTACTTTTGCTTTTTATTTTAGATTCTAAATCCTTTAAAATAAATATCTCATATCCTTTATAAAACACACAAACAATACAATGTTAATAAATCATCCTCATTAATGTCACCAACACTAGTAAATATTCTTGAAATTGATTTTTATAAGTTTTAGTATTGGGAGTGGCTCTTATGATTATTCTTTAGTTTGTCAATTACTTTGAATGACTCTTTTTCAATAAAAAGATGATGTCCATATAGGAAACAACCCAAAAGCCAGAACAAAAAAAACCCACCATGGCATCTTTTTAAAAGGCTACAAATTTATTTGTTATGGCATGGATGTAAGTCCATGAAAGCTTATTCCACGGCGGCTACAAGATGTTGCTGCCACAGACTAGCATAGGTAAAAAAGTTCCCAATGACTAATAAACCTTTATTATAGCATAAGTAAATTACACTGCTGACATTTGACTGCAAATAAGCAGAAGGCATACTGTGTTTTCCCCGAAAGTAAGCCCTATCCCAAAAATAAGCCCTAGTTTTGGGGTAAGGCACACACCTAAAAATCAAGCTAAGGCAGGGGTGTGGGTGTGGAGCTGCCCCATCCGCCTTGCACCTACTTACATTGCAGCCAGACCTCTCCTTGCCAGCCCACTTCTTCTTCTGAGGCCTTTCCGGAAGGCCTATGCAGACAAGAAACAAGCTATGGATTCAATCAGTAGCTCGGTTCTGCAAGACCTCAGCAGAATCCATAGCTTGGTACTCGGCTGCTTAGGCCTTCTGGAAAAGCTTGATTGCAAAATGCAGGCCCGAATGCAGCTGCAGAACTTTGGCCCCAGAAGAAGTGGACCGGCTGGGTGGGGCTGTCAGTGCCGGAGATGAGGTAAGGCTTATCCCAAAAATAAGACCCGGTGCCCCTTTTGGAGGCAAAAAAAAGACCCAGTCTTATTTTCGGGGAAACACGGTATTTCCATCTGGATCTTATAAGAACATAGGTCAACATGACACACACAGGGCAAGCCCACGGCTGAGATTGTACCTGCTACCTCCACAATATCTCCTGGGACGATGTCTCGAGCTCGGATCCGCTGCACTCCGTTCCTGTCTGCTCTGATCACCTTCCCCATTTCTGGTTCATATTCTTTTAGGGCCTCAATTGCACTCTCAGCATTCCTCTCCTGCCAAAAAAAAAAAAAGGGGGGGGAGCTTTTTAAAACTGGAACTTTTCCAACATAGAAGTCCCCTGAACAATCTGAATGTCTCAGGGGAGAATGTTTTTCCAGTTGAGATTAAACTAAAAGATCTACCCCATCCAGATACAGATGGTATCCACCACACACAGGGTCTTTCTGGTGACTGAGAGCTGCTGTATATCTTGCTTTGCAACCCTATGGACTAGCATTGTGATGCTATTCTGCATATTGAAAATATGCACTTGGTGGGTTGGATTGTTGAACCAGGTTCATATTGTTCGTGTTGTTTCATATTGGATTATTTTGATAATTCTTTTTTTTTAAATGACTATTTTGGAAACATTAGCATATGTGTATTTGGAACAAATTTGTCCTCAACTGCCTTCTTTAAAAAGTTGCCCCAGCTATTTTTGTAACCTCTTTTACTTTCAAAAATATATTTCTAGCCAATGTCAATTTGGCATGTGTTCAATCAAAATTGCATTCTCTTCTATGTTTGTATCAATTTGTGAGGAGCGATGATGGTATGCAAGGCTGGAGCTGAAAATGATCTTTGTTTTTAAATTAACTCCCTAAACTGGATTAATATCTAGACCAACATTTATTTTTCAGACTGCAACATCCAAAACAGTACATGGCATCTCTTAGCTTAAATATTATACACAGAACTATGCAAAGGAAGTTGGTGTAAAAATAAATACAAATCTGTGTGCATGTCTTTTAAAAATGCAGAATTATGCAGGAACTGAATAGAAAAGACGAATGATTTATTTGAAGGGCTGTCATAGAGAGGAGGGGGTCAACTTATTCTCCAAAGCACCTGAGGGCAGGACATGAAGTAATGAATGGAAACTTATTAAGGAGAAATCCAACATAGAATGGAGGAGAAATTTCTTGTCAGTGAGAACAATTAATCAGTGGGATGGCTTATCTCCAGAAGTTATGGGTACTCCATTACTGGAGATTTTTAAGAAGGGATTGGATAGCCATTTGTCCAGAATAGGGTCTTTTGTGTGAGTAGGGGGTTGGATTAGAAGACCTCCAAGGTCCCTTCCAACTCTGTTATTTTATATTCCATTCTGTATTGTTATAGGTGTGAGATTACAAAGGACAGAAGGCAGATTCATTGACCCCCATTTACTGATAAATGAAAGGCTCCAATAAATATTGTATTTTATAAAAGGAAGTTAACCTTACATTTAATACAACCCTCCCCAATAGGAGGAACAATTAGGAGAAAATAGATATGTGACTAAAGTTCTATGAAACACCCCACCTTTTTCCTTTTGTCAACATACGGTGCTCACCTCCAGCTGAAACCTGGAGATTTCCCCCCTCAGATAAGCACATCCAGACAATACACCTTACTCAGTGGAAACTACAGTGAGGTGTATGTCAAGAAAGAGCAGAATGCATCACACCATTCTGATGCAAATCTCACTCCTTTTCTTAATGAAAGTAATATCCTATAGTGTGGAGTTTGTATCATGACAGCATGATGCTACTCCCATCATTCTAATAAGAGCAGGACGTTTCTGGGGATACCCAGAAGTCATATAACTGAATTCAAAATTCCTGATTAAAATTAATTGCCTTTAAAATAAAGAATTTCCTTGATGTAATTAAGTGATTCCTATTTATATGTATGGATCATATTCTTGCATACATAGAAACCACTCATTTGTGCACACATCAGCAGAAATAGAAAGGAGAAGGAGAGAGAGGGAGAGAAGAAAAAGGAGAAGGAATTACACAGATGGTATAAATGAAAGGAGTAGGGGGAGGAGAAAAGGAGAAAAGAGTAGAGTAGAGTAGAGCAGAGCAGAGTAGAGTAGAGCAGAGCCATCTGGATGGAGATTAAGAGGCAGGGAAAATAAAAGAAAATCAAATAAACTTGTTTAATCATTACAAAACAATCACTAAGAGGGAAGCTGGCCAATTTTCAAAGGATTCCATGCTTTCCTTCAGATATCTTTAGCCATTCTCACCAACTGACTATTAATTTCTTTTGAAAAGCAACTTCTATGATAAATGGGGGGGGTGAGGGAGATTTTTTCCCTCTCCATTTGGCAGATACTATTGGAAAAAAATATGTGAAACTGACACAGACTGGATTCAGACTTGCAGTTATATCAAATAACTCCTAAAACACACCTGAAGCTGACCTGAATTGGCTATAACTTGCTTCCTCCCTCCCACCCGAAGACACATCAAAGCAGGTAGGTGACCAGCCCGTTAACATACCTGCCAAACTCCTACCACTGCATTGGCTATGAGGATCATAATAATTACAACAGGCTCCACAAAGGCTGTGGTGGTTTCTTCTCCTTCCTCAAACCAGGCCAGAATCTGCAGAGGAAAGAAAAAGGAGGGAACAGGGAGGAGATGAAGAGGGGACATTTTAGACAACCATCTCAAAAAACAAACAAGATGAAAAGTAGTCATGGCTGAGGGCTTCATTCCATCCAAAAGGAGAACTGACTAAAACAAATTTCAGAAGTTTTTTTTTAAGATAAATTGTTAATCATTATCAAGTTTGTTTGAGAAGACAGAACATCTCCTCCTACGATGAGGAGGGGATGCTTGAATATATACATCCATACATATGGAGCAGTGCAGTAGGAAAACAAACTTGTGTTGCCTGTGAAAGAGGTGCAACTTTTAAAGTTACCTGCTGTTCTACTTAAAAAAGGTGTGATTTTGCTTGTAGTTATTTTTGAAACACAGAAAGATTAGCTTATACTTTAAATCTATCATCTTGAATTTTCATATGAATCAGACTGAAGAACTTCATAGAAGTTTCCAATCCCCTTTCCTCCCCCAATCTCAAAGACACCTTCAATCCCTAAATGCCACTCTAGATGTCGAAGGAAAAGGGTGGTGAGGAATAGCGTGGGAAAGGACCTGTCACAAATTAGGATTCTAAATTAAATTAATTGAAGTTGGTTCCTGGAACAAATTTTCAGCCTTTTCCTTCCCTAGCAGCTCTACTGCACCTCATTTTGATTTTTCAGGACAGCCTTTTTCATATTACCAAACAGAAGCTGGATCTGAAAGGGCCACCGAGGCCATACTTAGTATAAAGTATTTCTGAGAAACAACTCTGAAGACTTTCATTAAAGACAAGTCTACAACTTCATTTGGTAATTAGTTCCACTGTTAAAATGCACACTAATGTCCAACCAGAGTCTACTTTCTTGTTTTTTAAGCATCTTAAGTCTCACATGCTGGGGAGCCAAGGAAACCTTGTGGACTTTTTCTTCTATACCACATCCCTTCAGGTGTTTGAGAAATGTTATCTTGTCCTTGTACAATCTTCTCTTTTAAACATACCAAGTCCCCTTAATTGCTCCCTAGAGCATGCCATTCCCAATCCCACAGTGATGCTCAGTGCCCACAGAACAGTTTAATTCAGAGGTTCAGAGTCACTGAATTCAGAGATTTAATTGCCACTGTCAACCCTTTGAGGTAGTCCAGACAGCAAAATCAAAACCATGAGTACTAATACTACCTTTATTATAAAGTTAAAGTAACAGGATCTTGCAAATCTGAAAACACTTCTCCCCCCTTCCCACCTTTTATATTCCAGAGAATTAGGGAGGGTTCCTTTTGACATGCTATCTCCATCCACAATCATATAACTATGATTTGGGTGCTTGGTAACCAACATGTATTTACAATGGTTGTAGCATTGCAGGGTCACATAATTGCCATTCGTGGACTTCCTAAGCAGCTTCCAAAAAGCAAAGTCAATGGGGAAACTGGATTTGCTTAATTGCACCAAAAAAGATTGTAAAATCTGGTACAGTCATGTAACCACATCATTTAGTGATAAAAGTTCCAATCCCAACTGTGGTCATAAGTCAAGGACTACTAGTATCAATATTACTGTCATGGTTCCAACAAATGAATCTCTTCAAAAGAACTTTGAGGCATTGTTTTCGTTAAAGAATCTTTTATTCGAGAAATAAAGTATTGGCACTACATAGTAGAAACCAAAAACTGAATTCGCCTCCCCTAGCACAAAGTAGCAAGGCACAATTCCCTCCTCCAACTAACTGTCATAAATCACATTCCCCAATTAACTTGAAGTGGGCTTTCTCCCCACTCTCCAGCTCCCACCAAATCTCTATCAGCTCTGGACCTAATAACCTTGGATTCCCAGGCTGAGTTATTATTGTTATGACTAGCTGGACTCTCATCCACATCCCCCCTCCCAGCATCAACTAACTCTAAAAGTGACAGAGGAAAAATGGCTGCATTTCCATCTATTGTCAAAGCAAGAACATCCGATGTTAGCAGGGTTGACAATTACCACATCCACCATCTTGTCTCCTCCCCCTGCAGATGCCACTACTTTAGAAGTCTAATGGCAGACCATTGTAGGCAAGAGAGAAAGTACAGAATCAGTAATGGCAACAGCAAATTTTCTTGTTTTCTCTTAAGGATGAGCAGCTAATGCTTCAACTAGGCTAGTGTTTATCAACTTTGGTAACTTTAAGATGGATGGACTTCAATTCCCAGAAGCCCTCAATCAGTGCTGGCTGAGGAATTCTGGGGTTGAAGTCCACCCACCTAAAAATTGCCAAATTGAGAAACACTGAACCAGGCAATAGAGAAAGGCTTTGAGGAGTCTAGTATCCATGACAATACAAAGCTGCTCCCATATTAAAAGTGGGTACGGCTGCAGTGTACCTTTTGGTTTTATTTGCATTTGCTGTTTTTATTGATGTTTTAATTGTTGTGAGGCTCCTACACATGTGAGATGTGTAGCTATCCAAATTGAAAAAAATCAAAATAAAATAACATTCTTTCATTCAATCACCATCCCAAGATCTACAGTGGGAAATTATTCTTGTGGCTTCCTCCAGTCTCAACTAGTGGAGTGCATAGTGAGGCATGCTGGGAGAAGAAGTGCCCACAAGACCATTGGCTGCCCAGATGTAGTCTACCACATGTTGCAGCTTCCATTGAATGTTGCTGAGGCAGAAAAAGCTTGGAAAATGTAATCTGAAAATTGTTGTTTTTTTTAAAGGCTTAGCTAAGTGGTGGATAGTAAAAATAAACCAACTTCTTCCAGCAAATAATTTTCTCAGGTGGAGGGAAGTGACTCGAATCTCCTGTAGCTACACATCTGATACCAAAAGAAATACTTCAAAGCAGTTATTCTAAATAGAAACTTCCTTAATTTCGGGATATTTTTTTTTTACCCTTTTGCTTTCAGCCAAACATTCCTGGACAATATTCCTCAGTTACCTAGCTGCAAAGTTTAATTTTCCTTCTTCTGATGGAAAGCCAGCTCAAAAGACAAAAGAACTGGTCCCTGTTGAGTTAATGCTACATTTGAAAACAGAACAGACTGAATTGAACAAGCTGTTGAATCCCCACTGATCTGGATCCATATTGTGGTTTTTCAGTTTCTATTGGATTAAGCCTTTGATCTTCATAAGAAAATAAAGTTGAGGTGAAAGAACAGAAACCCAACAGGATACACACTTATTCAACTTATTATAACTGTGCAGAACAGGAGGGAGGAAAATAGAAAGGAAAACATTATTTCAGACTTTGTATCCCATTATGTATGTATTTGAAAAGGGGCCCATCTCTGAAAATACACACTTGATTATGGCACAGCTATCCACTTCTTGGTATATCCTTGCTGAATTAGAGATAGTGCGATCAGCAAAAAGATACTACAGTACTAAATTATCTTTGTGGTATAGGATGACTACAGTGATACACAATACCACAGGTTGACATAAAGATATTATATTGGCAGTTTAATCTTTAATCCTTCTTTCTTTGACTGTCCATAATTAGTACCTTTATTGATCCACTGCTTCTCTTCAGAGACTTTTAGATCACTCACTTTAATACAAAACTAAGTATGAGGATTGATGAGAAGCAAGACGGCCTTTATGAGATGCAGACAGTCCTCAACTTACGGCCACAACTTGGACCAGAATTTCCATTGCTAAGTAAGGTGGTTGTTAAGTGAGTTGCACCAGATTTTATGCCCTTTTTCTGCCACAGTTGTTAAGCTGCAGTTGTTATAACACACGTTCTGTTCTTTCTTACTGTACAAGGTGAAGCTTGACATTAGACAGTTTCTGTCTCACCTGTCCCCACCACCCTGGACAATTTCTTCCTGTCTAAATTGTCCTTGCTGACAATTGTCCAACTCCAACAATAGAAGAATATCAAATGCCCAAGCCAAGATATAGTCATGTATCCCTTCTCCATTGGCCTTTCCAGGAGCTTCACCCAAAATAAACAGTCAGTAAAAATTCTATCCCAAGCCAAGGTACAGTCATGTATCCCTTCTCCATTGGCCTTTCCAGGAACTTCACCCAAAATAAACAGCCAGTAAAAATTCTATAGAATAGAATAGAATAACAGAGTTGGAAGGGACCTTGGAGGTCTTCTAGTCCAACTCTCTGTTCAGGCAGGAAACCCTATACCATTTCAGAAAAATGGTTGTCTAATCTCTTCTTTAAAACTTCCGGTGTTGGAGCATTCACAACTACTGGAGGCAGGTTGTTCTACTGATTAATTGTTCTCCTTAGTTCTAGGTTGTTTCTCTCCTTGATTAGTTTCCATCCATTGCTTCTTGTCCTACCTTCAGGTGCTTTGGAAAATAGATTGACACCCCCCCCTTCTTTGTGACAACCCCTGAGATATTGGAAGACTGCTATCATGTCCCCCCTCGTCCTTCTCTTCATTAAACTAGACATACCCAATACCAGCCACCATTCTTTTTATATGTTTTAGCCTCCAGTCCTCTAGTCTCAACATCTTTTTTACATCATGGTGACCAAGAGTGGCCCTACCAAGGCAATGTAAAATGGTATAGTGGTATAGTGTTGTTAAGTGAATCATGCAGTTTGTTAAGCGAATCCAGCTTTCCCCATTGACTTTGCTTGTTAGAAGCCAACTGGGAAGGTCACAAATGACAATCACATAACACCAGAATGCTGTAACTGCCATAAATATATGTTGGTTGCCAAACACTTGAATTTTGATCACATGACAGGGGGATGCTGCAAAGGTTCTAAGTGTGAGGACCTGTTGTAAATTATTTTTTTCAGTGCCACTGTAACTTCAAAAGATCGCTAAAGAAATGGTTGTTAGTTAAGGATTACCTGTAGATGGAAGTAGCAGCATTTTTGGGAGAACCCCCCCAAACAAAACAAAAATGCAAAAGAACCTTTTTTATCTTTAAAGAAGATACGAAATGCTTCCTGAATGAGGATGGAGCATGCTTCTTTATGCAATGTGCCAAATGCCCATTGCTTTAAGGCAGGATTACACATTTTTTTGTGCACAATTGTAGCTCACCAAGTTTGTGTCGCTTTGTTTTAATTTGATAGCCATATTGTCTAACTTTTTGGGAGGAGGGAATAATTAAGATAATAGGTTTGTTGGCAATTCCCCAGGCTTAAGAAAATCCAGACGAGTAACATTCAACCTAAAAAACTAGAAAAAGTCCTGAAAGTTGTTTTTGTCCAGGGAGGTACTACAAGGTAAATGTAACCCCTCTGCCACTGCTCAAAAATAAAATAAAAGTCTTTATTTCCTTCTTCCGTTCCTGCTTTTAGCATGTGGATTACATCTAAGGGATTTCTTTTCATAAAATATCTTGCAAATTCCATTACAGAGATGCAAATTATTTAGGCTAATAAAAAGCAGGCAATTGTGAAATTAAACATAGACACAAAATGTCCTTTGGCTCATTCTTCTTAGGGCTCCTTCACAAGCAGATCATGAGAAGAGAAAAAAAATCACCTGAGATTTCCATACAATTCATGATGAAGCTCCCCAGCCTTCTCTGAGTTGAGCTTGACTCCTGGCCTCTACATGGATGTGTAGTTTTCTTGACAACAATATGGCAGTAGTTTACTACTGCCTTTCTCCAGGACATTTTTTCAATTAAATCTACTACACTGGGTTTCTTAAGTGATATTCCAGCTAAGTACCAGCCACATCTGATTTTGCTTTGCTTGCTGGAACCAGCCAAATACAACTAAGTGTTGCAATCTAGCTGGTGCACCTTGTATTCCTAACATGACATCACTTACCACACTCCCTAGTTCCATGCCATGTTTAAACAACTTGAAGTATATTGTGGAGGATAAATAATATTCTCCTTGCATGCATGATGCTAAATTGCATGGGAGATAGTGCAGGCAAGCTGAAGCTGCCAGATAACCATGGAAGAGACAGCAACAGACCACAAACAAAACAAAACAAAACGAACAGGTTGTCTTGTCTTGTGTGAAGGGATTCAATATATGGGTATAATAACGGACCACGTGAGCAGTGGTGGCGCAGTGATTAGAATGCACAATTGTAGGCTGACTCTGCCCACTGCCAGCAGTTCAATTCTCACAGGCTCAAGGTTGACTCAACCTTCCATCCTTCCGAGGTCGGTAATATGAGGACCCAGATTGTTGGGGAAAATATGCTGAATCTGTAAACCGCTTACAGATGAGCTGTAAAGCACTACAAAGCAGTATATAAGTCTAACTGCTATTCCCATGTATCAGAAAGTTGTAGTTCAGACCAAAGGTTGGGCTTGGAGTCTCTTTAGAATCATAGAGTTGTAAGGACCTACGAGATCACAAATGCTCTGCAAACTATAGGATTCATTATACTATCCCCAACAGATGACTATCTTGAGAAGAGCAGAATGCAGAGGCACTGAGTCAGCCCACAGTAAAGTCACCTCATGTTGTTTTCAGATCTTGCATCAGATCATGTTATAATTTACATTATTTTTCTAAGTCTTCTGTATCATTTAACAGGGTACATAACCTGTAACTATGAGGGCTTTGAGGCTCTTCTGCAGTCTTCTGGCAAGGAGCCCCATGATCACTACAGCTGTATGTGCCAGTAAAAGGTACTTTGTTGCATCTTTGTCCAAACACTTTCATTTCTTATTTAAGCAGGCATTTTGCCCAAAACAATGCATAACTGAAATTATACAGCGCGTGCAATTTTATATTTTCCTGGCCTCCGTTTCTGCTTTTCCCTCTGTTATCTGCTTGTCACTAAGTGAGAACTGCTTATAAGATCTATGTGTGTACTTGTGTGGGTAACAGAATTTCCCACTGCTATTATGAGACATATGAAATGTTAAAACAAAAATCTGGAGATGCATACTTTCTATAACTTGCAGCCCATAGATATTTTCAGGATATGTTACATATCTTGAATCCAGTCTAAGTAAGATTTGCTTAGCAAATCCAATTAAAACAAGGATTCTCCATTTTTTTTATATGACGGACCCCTTTGAAAATTTGGTGAAATCTATAGCCTCTTCTAAGAAAAAATGTTTTTAAAATTAAATACATAAAATACATAGATATAGATTGTTTTTATATCTGCAGAGGAAACTACGTAATCATATTCAAATACAGTTATCACATTATTAAAAATGACACATACATTAATAGCTATGCTTCTTTATTAATCTTTTATTAATCAATAAAAAGATAATACCCTATAAAGATATGTGAGATTTAAGAACATTTTTGAAGTCTAGCAGCCATATAATAAATTGTTGTTGATACACATTTTTGAACAAGAAGCTAAATTTCAGCTACAAGTGGAAACAAAACTGATTTTTTTCCATCCAAGTTCAAAGACCTCCCCCCCTGTAATATATCCATATTAAGAACTTCTGAAAAGGATAAATGGATAAAGCTGAGAGCCTGTTTGGTCTAGTGGTTAAGTCACCAGACCAGAAAGTGGGAGACTGTGAGTTCAAGTCCCACCTTAAGCTGGGTTACTTTGGGCCAGTCACTTAACCGTAGCCAAACCCACCTCACAAGGTTGTTGCTGTGGGGAAAATAGTAGAACGAAGGTATGTTAGAGATGTTTGCCGCCTTGACTTACGTATTTGTAAAAATAACCATGATGTGACTTGATATCTAGCAATTTTCTGTGCTGGTGTGATATTTCACACACACACCCCAAGCCAACTAGAAAAATCAAGCTTTTTCTGTGAGATTAGCAACCTGTCTCCTGGATAGGATTGAACCAGGTCAGCATCCATATTTCTACTCATGTACTATGAGCTGAACATTTAGTTACTAGGAAATCATTTGTTAGTTTTTAAAACTTTGTTTTTGACTAAAGCTTTTATATCATTTTACTGTTTGATCTATTAACTGCCTAGAGGAACACAAGTGAGATGGGTGATGTAGAAATTTGATAAATAAATAAAACAAATCTCAATTGAGGTAAACATACTTACAAAGGAAACAAAAGCAGCCAAGAGAAGGATGCGTACTAGGAGATCTTCAAACTGCTCCAATATTAGCTCCAGAAGTGATTTTCCTACAAAGTTAATTTAAATCTCATGTTAGAATAATTTAAAAAATCAGCAGAAAATAAGTAAAAATCAAAAACATGGGGTTATAATCTCAAACTGAGAGGTGGGACGTTCAAAAGTGTTATTAGAAAGTAGTGGCATGCTTATCTTTTTATGCAAAAAAAGATTGATAAAACTTTTAGAAATCATATAATAAGGGCTGCACTGTTGAGAGTTTGGCAAAAATATTTTTTCAAGTTTGAGGTTAAACTTCCAATTTGGGTGATACCGTCACACATTTTTTTGACTATACCTAGATTTGTGGTTATGGAGGCGCCATCTTATAAAGATTTGTTATATTTGAGTGGTAGTGGTGAATGGTGCCTCAAATCAATAGATGTTTTGAGACGGAAGTATCCAGACTTTTCTTGGCTTGTGTATAGACAAATTCAAGAGAGATGGCGAATTGATAAAAAAACTGCTTCTTTTATGGAAAATGGGAATTTTTTGAAAC